TTTTTTCCCATTGAGCTCAAGTCTCTTTATCAGCATCGCAGAAGCGAAAGAAAAGCAGGTTAGATCGGCCAGTTCTGCCCTCAGCCTCGTCACAACGCACTCCTAGCTGAGATAAGTCGGTGACCGTAGATGATAACAAGGGATCAGGACCTCACTATCTAATAATGCCAAGGAAGGCTGACTCACACGGGTTGCCCGGTCTTTTTATGTATACTTTCCACGACCAATCAGAACAAAGGAGCGCCGGTTAAACGGGAGTTTTTTTTTGTTAACATCCATGAACGCATCTTTTTCCAGATCCTAGCACATAACAGGCTTCGCTGTAAAACTCGATAATCACAAACTTGATCGAAAAGCGGTGTATCCCACCTGATCCGTAAAGCCGCGGTCACTACTGCCATAGCCTCCTCCGTATAGAGGAGGCTATGCTACTGCTTACATCATACAAAAAACAGTCTGCATACAGATTCGAACGCGAGTCACCGCGAAATCCGAGCTTCGAATGCCGCATGACAATGAGTTCAAGGAGAAACTTGGCACGCGGCATTCGAACCACGGATATTGTGGTGACTGGTGGTTGCAGACTGCTTTTTTTTTTTTGTATTATGCATAAGCAGTATGACCTTGGCTTAAGGCACCCCGTGGCCCTCCATAGCCCTCGTAACTACGGGCGCCCACTGGTAAAAATAAAGCGAACGCAGAACAACTTTTCCATGCGGATGTGACGCTGCGCCTCCCAGTCGTTCAAACATCTCTCTTTCCTGCACCTGGCCTCTACCCTGTTGTCGCCTCCCTTGTTGACTTTCACGCCAGATGGTGACCCATCGTCCTTCACTCGGCCGATTTCTTTTTGCAAGTTTTGGGTTTTGGTCTCGTTATGATTCCGACATTCTTTGTGACAGGTTGGCCCACACCCTTGTGACAGTTGTATACTCTAAAAGAATCCGGTGCGTCTACTTTTTTTCAATGCACCCGGGAGAGCCGACCGCTGGAAGCAATAGAAGGAGTAGGCGAATGAAGAGGCTGAAAAGATGTTTAGACCTAAAGAGAAACAGTGCGCTGCGACACTGCGGATGACGCTATACGTATTTCCCTCATGTTCAGTGTCAAAGCGCAGACAATTTTTTTAGGCCCACCTACATTTTTCACCCATTGTAACTGGCCGAGCGCCCTTCGTAGATTGTAGCGATTGAATACCTTGAGTGCTTGTCAGAAAAAAAAAGTTTTAGATTTTTAGTGTGTACACGTTACGAACACCCCCCCCCCCCTCTTTCCCCCTTCTTTATGAAAGGAACTTAATAGCGTTCCTTGTTGTTTAGTCATATATTAACAAATACTAGTTACTTGTTCCTTTTGACGGGGAGTAACTGAGTTTTTCGGTTTCGGAGAAAGTGACGAAATGCAACTGACACTTTAGTAGTAAAGCGTTACGTGCAAATTTGTTCAGTAGCTTAGAACACAACAATATGCAATCACAGTGCTCCAAGTTGTAAGATACGTTCTTCCGAGGAACATAACCAGCCACATAATGCCGACTTACTCCAGGAATCGAAGCGCTTTTTTACGAAAACGTATAGGGTGTCCGAAATGCTGAGGCTCCATCTAAAATAAGCCGTAAAAATCGGCGCCTGCACATAGCAATATAAACTTATCGTTAAAGGTGTATTTCTGTAAAAAATAGGGCCAATAAACTTACAAGGTTCAAGGGCGGACGGCGACACAGACGACCGACTCGAGTGGGGGTGCGTTTGGGGTGCGCATTGATAGATCTGTGTCGGGAGCAGCGTTGGAAGGTGTAGCCGAGCAGAGAAAAAAAGCAGGCGACAGTAAGACGAAATACTTCGGCAGCAAGAGCGCTGTCCTTATGCAACCATGCAACCGCGTTTTCTCTTCTTTTTGTTACTTCAAGTTTTGCTATCATTGTCCGCATTTATTTTTAAACCAAAAGTAGATGACAAAAAATATTATGTCGTCGCGGGGGGTCTCGATATTTTGTAAAAGCAAGCCTGAACAAGGAGGTAGCACCAGTTGTCAATACGTGCGCCAAACGCCCCCCGGTCTTCTGTGTCGCCGTCTGTCGCTGACATTGGCAAGTCTTTCCTACAAAAGGAGAGCTACGCCTTGTAATTTTACAAGGTGAAACCCGCCTGTCAAATACACCTATGAGGAAAAGATTAGATTGCTACGAACAGGCGCCGATGTTTACGGCCCATTTATTTTTTATTATAGGCACTCTAAAATATCTGCGCGTCCTTCTTCTCCCAGAGCATGCCGGCTGTGTTTGGAGATTTGTGTTTGTCCTTTATCCCTCTTGTTCCCCTTCTTCAGGGATTATTTTCATCATTCTTGTCCAGCTCGCTTGCACCTTTGCATTCAATTTCATTCTAATAATAACCAATCAACGCAGTTAAAACGAGGGGCTCAGATATCTCACGGGAGATTATGTCTTCACGCGTAAGGACTGTCTGCGTAAATCGGAATTCCGTGGAAAAATCTTGTTTTCGACAACCTTTATTCGTGCTACGTTGCTTACGTAGAACGCTATATTCAGCAGCATGTGTGCTCTTCGGGAAAGTGGGCGGGCGTGCCTTCTTAATGAACAGTGCGTGTATTATATTGTCACCGCCAATCTAGAAAAGGCAAGGCGTGACAGTCCCGGACAACTATAGTGACTTTCGTCACTATAGTTACTATGACAGAGGGCGCGGCTTATCATGATCACGTTTCTTGCATTGTGATTCGTTCTTCGGCGTCCTTATCGGCTAATGTTGCAGTCTCGTTGGCTACGAAACGATAAGTAGAGCTAAAGTTTTTGCGGTAGATCTAGCAACTATCTGTAAGCGGCGTATTTCGAGGAATGTTGTGAAGCGTAATGTTTAAATATTTAAAAAAGGGTATACCCCAAATCAAACCATAGCAAACGTTATGATCTCTCGTATATTTTGTTTTCTCTGCGACCTCTCGTTTCCTCTGCGACCTCTCTGTGATCTTTCGTGTATTTCGTTCTTTCACTGTGACCGAAAAATTATGATTCTTCGAGATGCTTCGCCGGGCGGTTCGGGAACAGAAAATTCCAGAAAGGTGCGACGAGATTAATTTGTTTAAGATGCGCATCGTTTGGTCCCAAGCGTCTTCGCAGACACTTCACTGGCTCAGGAACATGGTACATCGCAGACATACCCCGACGAGGTTAACTAAGTTCTTCAAAACGCGCATTTATTAGTCCCACGCGTGTTCACAGGTGCTTCACAGGCTCAGGAAAAAAGAACATATCATAGTTCTTCAAGATGCGTATCCACTGGTGCCATATGTGTTCGCAGTAAGCGGAATTTACCTTAGCAGCCCGGGATGAGAGCTCCTAGGATGTTGTCGTAAAGATGAAGAAACAATGCCCTATGTGCTACCTCTGGCGAGCAATCTGAAATGAATGATCGATGTAAGTTTCCCTGTACCATAACGCATTTACTGGAGTTACTGACCTCTCTTTATAAACGAAACCTGCGCTAATGTCCTGCTTCCCGGCCGAGCGAGCGTATAAAATGTCACCGCTATTGACAAAAAGAGTCCAGCAACTTAGACAATCCAAGTAGATTTGGAACCTTCGTGTCTAATCCCTTCTGTTCGTGAATCATATTGTTACTTAAAGCTTAAGAAGCAGTATTGGGTAAGTTACTTTTAAAAAAGTAATTCGTTACAGTTACATTTACTTTCAGAAAAAAGTAGCGAAGTTACCGTTACAGTTACCGCAACAAAAGAGTAACTCGTTACAGTGACAGTTACTTTTAAAAAAGAACGACGTTACTTTTCAGTAACTTTTCTTTAACGCATACACATTTATGAAAAACTAGAAAACGCCCCTCACAAAGTTTTATTGCATAAAATTAAAACGTATGTTCTTCTTTGTTCTCATCAACATCCCTATCCTTGGTAGCACTAGCACATTGCTGGGTCGTTGACGGTTGCGCTGGGTTCATAGAGTCCCTGGACATATTTCAGTTCGTACCCGGCAAGCCAGAAACAAACCCCGTGCAAACGACAGTAAATTTTGTCTTGGCTGTAGACACCACGCTGGAGTAGTGGCGCAAATCAAAATACGAAACATGCGCAGTGCCCTCCACGTGTATCGTTATTTCATATTTGATTCACCCGATAAAAAAGCGTTTGCGCTGAAAAAAGAAAAACCGCAGCACAAAGAAGAAGCGGTGCGTAAAGATAACTCGATTTTTTTTTTCCTTCATCAAATCTACATGTAGCTATATTCGCGTCGTGACTCGCGAGAAAGAATGTATTCAAAAGGTTGTGCAAGGCCAACTGGACACTCGAAATGTCGGAACTGACAATTTGGAAAGTGCAAGGAATAGCTAGATTGTACTCGTTCAATGATATATCATTCATAAAAAAAACGTAAAGTAACGACAAAAGTAACTTTGTTACTTTAACCGTTACCTCAAAAAGTAATAGAACTACAGTTACAAGTTACATTTGTAAAAAGTAATTGCTTACAGTTACAAGTTACCAAAAAAGTAACAAAGTTAGAGTAACGCGTTACTAGTAACGCGTTACTACCTAAGACTGTAATAAAAAGCACAGGACCTGCCTTATACAATCTTGTGCGCAACAAAGACGAGGACAAAAGCAGAGAAGAGGACACAACAAGGCGCAAATTCAGAAATTTGCGCCTTGTTGTGTCCTCTTCTCTGCTTTTGTCCTCGTCTTTGTTGCGCACAAGATTGTATAAGATGTCAAACCAACTCGCCCAAACAACCACTCTTCTAGGACCTGCCTCATCATGTTCGCGCATCTTGCTTTGGGATTCAATCTGCGGCGTTCTTTTCGGCTAATCTCATTATCTCATTGGTTGCAAAAGGCTACACACATGCTGGAGATTTGACACACTCTGAGTTTCTGAATCTTCCAGTGTCCGCACCACAATGTCGAGTAGCAATTGCTAGGCACAAGGATTCTTTAAAAAAAGAAATAAGAATTACACTTAATTTTTATTCACCGATGCTGAAACAACACAAACTCCAAGTGATGGTATACGCTTTCTTTCTTCTTCTCTTTTATCTTAGTCAGTCAAATTCACGGGGAAGGTAACGCAAAAGACGACTCCCTTGGCTCCGGTTAGGCTCAGCTTGGCAGTGGTGTTCAGCTGAAATAGAAGATATATTAGAAGTAAGCTATAGGCTTCAAGATTGTACAGGACAGGCTGTCTACAGAGGGATGTGGCAGCCATTTGCTTGTTGTTAGTCGTGCGAATTCTTTTCACAAATGTAAGAATACAAAGACTGAAAAGAAAACGACGAGCCAAAAGGAAAGGAACAAGATTGTTGAGAAGGACTCTTTTTGCATGCTTGTCGATTACCGTGAGTCAATGTCGATTACCGTGAATAAATGTCAACTACCGTGAGTATATCCCGTAATTTTAGCATCAAAAATGCCGCGTTGATTTGCTCGTGGGGAGCTTCCTATGAACTTGAACAACTTAAATAAAACTAATGTGTGGTTTCACTTTAAGAGCTAACAAAACAAAATACTAATATGCCTCTTTTGGGGTGAGAAAACTAAAGTTTACACGCGTAAAATCGGGCCAAAACGGATTTTGGCAAAATGGGAGACCAAGTGGACTCGTGGAGCAAAGCCCCGAGTTCACGTTCAATTCGTCATTAAAAGCGGCAGAAGTGTCACAGTTTAAAAATGAACTCCTGATTTTTGTGGCACCTTCGAATTTGCGTTTTTTCAGAATAGGAGTTGAAAAACTAATGTTTTGAAGGCTTGGAGAGAATCATGATCACGAATATTGCTCTAAGCTCGAATCAAACCAACTATTCAAATTTTAGCACATCCTGAAGTCCTGAGAGGATGACTGGATGTCAAAGCAATCTTTGATTAACCTGATATTGCTGATATCAAGAAGATGAGCCGATGCAACGTTTTCGTTTCCAGGGCCTGTTTAAATATTAACCGTTATAGACGCAGGTTTGTGTATCAAATGCAGCACATTAAATATTCTGGAAACCCGCGGGACTTATGATCTAACCTAGATTTCTTTTTTTTTAATTCTTTAAATATTGATACTTTCCGAATTATTGAGCTGGCTGGAACCTGGTAGTATAAGTTGAAATTTAACGTTGCCACATCATCGCTACTACCAATGCCTCAAATACCATATACGTGACGAGGACTTTCTAACCTCCCTTCCACTTCTTTACGCGTCAGAAACGTCTCATGCATTATTTAGTGTTGTCAATATTTTCCTGGAACTTCTTAAGACGTTAGTGATGCCAGAATATCTGTGATGGAGCAATCTCTCTACGCCAGTACACCGGCACGAAAATATCAAGGTATTCCCACAAGTAGAAATTTACACAATTTTTCTAGTCATTTCGTAGTTTTTCCTGACATAGTCGCACAACTACTTACCTTGGGATAGAATGGCTTGGTTTCCAGCTGGTACCTAAAAACATATTTTTCGTTCTTTTCCAGGGGACATCGAATGCCCTGCTCTCTGCAACCGTCCTTCTTCAGGGAGGGCAGAGGGAGCTCCAGATCTCCAAGTTGGGCACTGATTTTCGATGCCAATTTATCCGAATCTTGATCTGTTAGAAACATGAGCGAGATTTTACGTTATTTTCTATATTCTATAAATTCGCGACTAAAAAATGTGAACAGAACACATCGAGGGCTGAAGCAAAGGAAAGTGTCCTGCGTAACATTCTGGTTCTTGCTAAGATAGATACAGATCAGACAAATTATATTGGAGTCGATAATTCAGATTTCATTCACATAACTATGGAAGCTGACAGACCGCAAGCAGAAGGTTTGCACAGCTCCAAGTGTGTCGTATTTGCTAATTGTTTCTGCTTGATTTTACACAAATACAATTTAATGACAGATGTAGGTATTGTGGGAAAAATATTGGAAAACTAGTTCACAGGGTGAAGAATATAAATAAACAACATTTATAATTAGGACACCTCAGCCCGCAATCGCATTTGAATTTTTAAAGTGCTGCGATATTTGGAACAATTTTGCTTTATGTCTGCTTGGTTTCTAAAAGACCGCGCACACTGATTTTGCCTTCCTTTCGAGTGATGAGTTTTATGCTTATTTTATTGAGAAGTTTACACTCAATGTCTATTGCTACCTTTTGGATTACTACGGGTTAGTGTTGCTCTTGTTAAAAAGTAACGTATAATATAACCATTTTCTAGTGTCCCTCTTTCTCGCCCTTTCTGATAAATTGAGTTTCGAGTTTCTGCATTTATCAACATACTTAACACAATATATTTCTTCCCGAATGAGCATGAGCAATCTGATGCCCATTTTTTTATTAGGTTGCACAAATATTTAATTGTTTGCCCCATTTTTGTTGCCTCGTCTCGCGTCTCTTATCATGATCATATAACATCAGCTTTATTTTGTTTTTAGTGTTCTCGCTGCCGACAATTATCTAAGAATCAGCAGACGCCGCCATTTTATTCAAATCTTTCTGTATCTTAGTGATGGGTGGTCGGTACCCAAAAAGTTTCAGACGTCAGTGTTGATTAATTGTGAAAGAAAACCGAAAAGTGCTTTTAATGGGTTGTGGTAAAACATCCATTGCTATTCTCAATATACTGTAGAAGGTAATGAAAGCTGAAGCATGAAAACACAATTGTCGAACTCAACCAAATACATCTTAAAGGCTATTTTGGTCCATTAAAGGAACGTACAACTTCAGTAATTGATAACTCATCCGTAGATACACAACTGTTTATAAAGGGCACTTAACACTCAATAAAGTCCCAGTACGCACGTGCAAACTTATGTCTCTACATTTCTCTTAAAAATAATACATCCCATTTGTTTTATTTTCTTCGTTGCCGCTAAAAGAGGGTTTCATATTTCTTTAATATGTTGAATAGAAAAGCTTATAGATGAAAATAAAAGGTTCAAGAATGTTTTTAAATTATATAATAAATTGAAGCTTCGCAAGTTAAGGATCTGTCCCATTGTGCTATGTTCAACTGCAATGAAACGCGGCACCATGAAATTGAAGTGACACCCACTTGCTCTGAAGGGTACCTCGATGAGAACAGTTTCTCCGCGCTTGATGCTGCACGGCTCATGGGTGCAGGGTTGCACTCGAACATGCGTCACGTCTCCGCCTGCGGTAGGCAAAAAAGGCGTCCAAAACGGGCCTCATAGCGCCAATGCATTGTTAACGCTAACGTCATGGTCTGAGAAGCTGTTGTCAGCCTTCGCTTATGCTAAACTTCTGTTTCTTATTTTTTTTCTGGTCCAGACAAGTATAAATACCTAAAAGAATATGAGCTCTCACTTCCAGGCAAGTCACTACTGAACTATAGAAAATGGGAAATCGAAGATCGTAAAGTGAAATACAGTGCAAATTTGCGGCGGTCAGAACTGTTGACATTGCGAAAGATTTGGAGCAGCAGGTTTCAAAAGAATTCGGTTTTGGTACATGTTTTCGTAGCCGGCCTGTTCGACCTCTCTCACGCAAAAAAAGATGGTACGAAAGCAATGCAATGAATGCTTAGACCCTTTAATGATATGGCGGCGCGTTTAAGTGTGCATGCGGTGTAAATAAGAGAAGGCCGGAAAGGTGCAATCCGCACTAAGTACGTGAGAAGAAAACCGTCGTCAGATGATGTCTACAAAACAATTAGTTTTGCATAATATTTTGTTTATGCTCATTCGTTGCTACCTGGCAATAATATTTGTTATGATCAAGATGCCGATACTTACAAGTTTGCTGTCTGAAAATATTCGTCTCAAAGTATGAATACATGTAATAGTGACATATTAGGTACTAACTTGCAACGTATATATCAAATCGTTCATAAAGCTATGCATCTACCAGATTCATTAGACATCGTTAAGTTAGTTCCCTTTTTATGAAATTATTCATATTGACAGGTGCGTTCGCGAGCGAGCGCGTGCGTGGCCGAGTGGTTACCGCGCTTGACTTTCGCGCGGAGGCCCAGGGGACAATTTTTGGGAGTTACGCGTCGTTTATTTAATCTTTCAGTTTAACGTTCCGGTAAATTCGAGAAACCCGTTGCTTGTTCGAATCAGAATGTTCTAGTCGTTGAACCTCCTAAGCCGATTGTTCCAGAAGCCAACGCGTGTACATAAGGGGCTCCGCGAGGCGATGCGCAGGCAGGCTCGCCCCAACGTTGGATCCTGCTGTTTTGCCACCATCGACGCGTGCGACGCCAGCCTCTTTTTTTTTGTTTGTTTTGGGGACAAGTTCGCCCCATTAAACGTTTAGTTTGCTTCGGTTTTCGTCGACTCCTCAATTGTCATTTGTGACAATATGATTCCACCACGAAATTGTCAATCGGTATTACTTCTAAACAGTAAATATTAATATACGATTGCATCCTTACTTCCACGGTAATTAGCGTATACTCCTTAAAAAGTGTAATATTATGTCCCTCGGCACCACCTCCTCGGTTCAATGCGCCGAGAAACTGACGCACAGGAGAAATCGAGGGGCGCGCGGGGATGTGAAAACGCTGAGCTCTGGTTGGAAGGATTAGTGGGTAGACCTGAAGCTAGCTGCCCTCGTCTCTACTGCACTCGTGAAACGCATTAGGACGCAGAATACTCGCGTCCGGCGTTTCGCTCTCCCACTTGAACGCGTTCGACGAGTGCAGTGCGGAGAAAGGGAGCTAGCTGTAAGTTTACCCACTAGTCATCCTAACCACAACTCGGCGTTCTGACATCTTCTCTCGTCTCCTCCTTTCCCTCACTATCGAATGTAATCGAATGTAATTCTCTGCTCTGCCAAGTCAAGGTTTTATACTGCAAGGTATGCCGTTAGGGTGGGTAAATTTACAGACGTAAAACGTGTTTGGTGCGTTCACGTTCTTGTCAACAAATCGAGCTGATCTGGCTTTAGATATCCGTAACTTCATCTGCAAAAGAGATATATATATATACACGTGATAAGCGAATGTTATTCCATTTGTTTTCAAAACCGTATGCTCGCCGCAAAATATTTACATAGTAGCATCCTAGGGATTCATGCTCGAAGCAGTGCTCTTTTCTTTACGCACGAATTAATATATTGTAACGGTTCGTAATACGCACTAAGATTAAAACTGGCGTTTTTATTCTATCCACCTCTTCATCCTCCTCTTCTCTATCCCCTGGCACATCGTCGTCTTCGTTCTTGTCTGATTCTTGGAACACTACATATATTAAGATACATCTGCAATTAGAATATAATTGACGCTTTTTATCGTTTATATTTGGCACTTATCAATAATGTAACAAAAACCTTATCTAAGACAAGCTTGAACGTGTTAAAAAAAGGTTTTTCTTTAGTCACATAACTTCAAGAACAACAACAACAAAGAAAGAATTTAGTTTTGATTTAAATTAAAATTCGATAACTTCCAAACTTTCATTATATACTCCTTGTAACTTTTTGGCCCAAATCAGTTTCATTATTATTCTGGCATATAAATGAGCTTATACTATTCGCATTGTGAGTACCATATCAACAACGTCAGTAAAATTGACATTTTAGTGCGCTCTTGGAAACTAATTATCCTTTTTTATTCCCACTGTCCATTCACGTAATATTTTAAAGACTGTATTCCCTCTTACTATACTCACTTTATGCTTATATTTATACAAAAAAGAGTAATTAGAATATTAACTGACTATATATAAATTATATATCTCGTTTAATCTGGTTATAACAAACCTTCGATGTTTCAAAAAAGCTCAACATTGCGCTATAATAAACAATGAACTAACTGTAAACGAATATTTTTAAAATAATCTATTTAACAAATTTGGTTCTACCTTTACATATTTAGTACGGAGAAAAACTTATTTTGGGAAGAAACTTCGGAAACGCTTTGCCAAACCTTACGATATTAGCGAGAACAAATATCTAGTTACATTAAAATAGTTCCTCATACGTTCTGGAATAAAAGTGATTATCATCTTCTGTTCTTTCATCTGCATTATATGTTATAATTTAGGTTTCGTTAGATTTGGACTTGAATTTATTACTTTGTACTTTGCTTCTAGCAAGACTGAGAACATATTCGCTAACTAGCTTTTTGATTTAACTAATTATACAACCATTTTTTTTTCAATGCGAGGATAGCGCGGATTGACGGCATTAACGTAGTTATAGGGAAATGTGTTTGTTAGCATTCGATATATTTTGTATGGTTATAATGAAGTTGTCTTTTTAGGCAATAAGCTCAATCAGGCAGCATATTTTTGCATGAATAAGGATATATTGTTGTTCCTGTTGCGCTTTGAGGCGCTCTTTCGCTAGGTACTCGTTGAGGACATTCGGTCGAGAAAGAATAACAGCACAACCGGCTTGTGTTAAACGGTTTATCCGACTGCTCGTTCGCTCACGCTCGCGATTCATTCCCCATCCCCCTCGTGTTCTTTTAGCTCCAGACCAAATGTCTCATGTCAGTGGTGTTCATTGTTAGTTTTTAACAGTTCCTGTAAACAAAAAAGTGTTGCAAAAAATAAAATAAATACAGAGTTCAGCTGACAACAGAACAAATCAACATTAATCACGCATGTATCGGCAAAAGGGGTTAATTATATCTTACACCAAGAAAAAAAAAACTGGAAACAAGCTGGTGAGAGAATAATGTAACACTTGTTGCGTGAATATTCATGACTACGTCAAACTGCAGTGTCCTGCTTTACATAAGAAGAGAAGCCCGTGTTCTGAAATTGCTACCTTTGTACTTAAAGTTACCAGCTTATTTTAGATTAGAAAGTAGTACCATCACTTATCTCGCTTAACGAATCTTGGATGTAAACAGAAACTGCTTTCCCGATTGTGATCATAACATTCATGATCCAGCGTCGTGTCTCTATAGCTACGCACGCCTTGTCGTGTTTAGGCCTCGAGATAAAATATGGCTTCTCTGATCAAACGTAATGAATATCGCTGAGATTAAGGGTCAGTTTAAGATGACATGACTTTTTATAGACAAAACCTATGAAAGAAGCACATGATTCTAATCACAACCTGCTTCAAGCTGCTTGTGACAGGTTAGACATATGCGGGTTATTGATTACGCTTGGCCTTGTGTTATGGTCAATTATAGCAATCATCTCAATTTAACACTCCCCTTTGATGCTTAATACAACATGCGCATATATACACTTATATTTGTTACGGCCTGGAGGATTGCTGAATTAAAAATAAAAGCAATATTGTTACCCAGAGCCGAAGTCTCGAAGGAGAGAGATCGAGAACATTGCAATAGTTGGAAAAAATAGAAACACGCTTTAGGACGACTTAACTGTATTCATGTTCGAAATTTGATATAATAGATTTTCTTGCCGAATACAGCTTCATGCAGGACTTACCACAACTTCGGAAAGCAATTGCCCGGAATTCTGCGGCAGCCACCATAAATGATGCACCAAAAAAGAGCAGAAAAATCATGTTGAGAACAGAAATGTTTTGAGGAAGTGAATCTATCCGTTGTACGCCCGCTGGTGATATTTATTTTCCAGCTTCCCCTCTCTTTAACACCCTCTAGTTCTTTCTAGATCAGGTGACTAGGTGCGTAGGTACACCAAAGACCCGTCCTTGAATGTCAGAAGGTTTGGCACCATCGAAAACGATTCACGGATTAACAATTCAACCGAATGGAAAATGAGGGTGCACTTGGGCTCCATTTACATCTATCCGAATTTCAAATATGATGCTCTTGGAAAGAAACCGGGAAGTTGCAGGATTGTCGACTAGGTTGGTTCAGTTAGAGTTATTTCCAACGAAAGGAACCAATACGCCAAAAGAAGCATGGCTATTATCGACACACGGTTGGGATATTTGGAAGTTTCTACAAATAATTGGTTCACCTTAAAAAAGAAACTAATGTTATGTGAGTACATAACAATAACCGGGGATGGTTCCATAGAAATGTTCAGATTGTATATTAGTAACATAGTCACTGTGTTTGATATATTTTATTTCTCTTATTATTTTTCTGACAATGCTATGTAATATTTTCTCATAAACTGCCTGTTCTCGTACAGAAACAGGTAAGCGCTTTTGTTAGGCATAATGGAGTGTATATCATTTGAAAGAAACCACATATAAAATTATTAATAGTAGAAGTAGTATTTTGTGCCGGTCACTATAAAATATGCTCGGAATTCCTAAATCTTACCATTAAGTATTGACGTCCCAGAGACGTGGAAAATCGCAATGATCGTTGGGATCATAAAGTTCGGAAATAGGGGCAATTTTCTAAAATTGCCGCCAGTTTCTCTTCTTTCTTAATTTTTCAAACTCTTTGAAATGGCTACGCGTTAATTCATGTTTTGACGCATTGTAGCATAGTAATTTCTTATAAACAAGGCGTGATGTTTGGCAAATTGACGGCTGAAAATCCTGCAACTTCTATGTCTACTGTATCTAGAGTCATCTGTAAGAGAGGTCAGTTAGACTTTTGTTTTACGATGACCTGTTCAAGTTCTTCAATATGGTTTATCACACCATCCTCCAATCGAAGCTTTCATTCTACAGAGTATGTGGCTCGGTATTAGAGTGGATTAAAAGTTGATTGTGGGAAAGGCAAACGTTCGTTCGTATAAAATACCGCCCTCTAAGTTGTACAAGGCAAGCTCCGGTGGTTCATTAGGGATCAATCTTGGGCCCCCTTATTTTTTCATTTCTTTTTGTAAACGACGTCTCCTGTGTTATTTCAAATTCTTCATTTCTGCAATACTCCAATGACATTAAGAAATAAGGATAATCAAATATTCTTCGCGAGGACTCATGTTCGTTTTACGAATGGTGCTATGACAGCGACTTCTACTTGAACTTTTCTAAAGTCAAAGTAATGACATTTTCACTTAAGACCCAAAATACCCTTTTTGTGCATAGCTTTAATGGTGAGCCTTTGTCACGAACGATTGAAGTGAGGTAACTTGGGGTTGTGTTTGATTAGACTCTGAGGATTGCCTCTAACGTAAGCAGAGTGCTTCATTCATTTCTACCCACGTTAGGTGCTGCACCATGCACAACGAATCAGTTTAAAAACTCGTTCGCGTTTTGTACACTGTTTCGTCCTTTAGTTAGATTTCAGCTAGAGTTGGCTTCAGTTGTATGAAACATCATTTCCAAAACTAAATCCTTGGGAGTCAAAAGAGTTCAAAATAAATGCATTTTTATCTTTAAACAGTGCTATATAAAGAAAGGTGTGTTTCTCCAAATTGTGAAGTTGATTCAGGACTCGCCAACATTCTGAGCCTGTCCCAGCGTCAAGTGAAAGCGGATTTGCGGTTTTTGTTTAAACCACTGTACGACTTGATTGACTTTCCCAGCTTTCTGTCAGAACTAAGACTTGGAGCTTCATGTGGAACCACATGGGCTCCAGTCATCCTTTAACATATCTCAATATTTTAAGCAATTAAACCAAGTTAATAATTCACTTGAGCTTTATAATCCTTACTCTGACATATTTGAAAATTGTTTTCGCGGGCAGCACTAGGTATGTTCACTCTGTCACACACGCCCTCATGCTATAAAAGGGCTGAAAAACACATGGAAGTCCGAAGCATTATCGTATATATTTCCTTTCAGAATATGAATACCTTGGTAGCGTCTCTGTTTTCTGCTTTTTGTTTATTTTGAAACTTGAACTGCCCTATAGTTATGTTAGTGTTAGACATGCTTACGGTGTTCCTTCTCTGCACTTGAGTTTTTCTTGTATGAGTGTGTATGGAATGAAGTGTATATTTGTATTGAAGTGCACCAGCATAAAGACTTATAGCTTTTTTTAGTGAACACTATAATAAAGAATGATTGATTCATTCATTGATTTATCGATATTATCTCGGGCAATCAGTGTGGTTACATGCTTGTGGAAATAAATCCTGCTGAAATGATATTTCCAAACTTGAGCTGGGAAACAAAACAATATTCAAAAACAAATCTTAAAATACATTTCCACATATGGTGAAACTTTCTATGTAGTCTTGCGACACAGGAAACGGGGTGTCCTTATACGCTAGCACGCCTCCAAATCAGACACGGCAACCTTCCCAAGGATTCTGCTTGTAGCAGTCATTTCAAGGTTGTTCGGCGCTTAACGTCATTCACCGTTTTATGTTGCAAAAGACAGCTTTAGGATATAGCCGAAAGCACATATGACTGAACCTGGCGCATTATTTGCCGGATGATCATTTAAGTCAATATTCGAAAGAAACATCACTGTGGACGTTACTGAGCTGTAATCACCATAAAATTATTTTCCACAAAATATAATGCTCTCCCGTTAATAGAAAGTTGTAACACGGAGCTTCGATTAAATAAAAGTTTGTCTTATTCCCAGTTACTTTTATAGCGAGGACTTACACATTCTCCTACAGTTTTATTACAACGTCCGGTGCTCCTCGGAGATTGGTTCTGGACCCTCTTTAATTTTGCCATCGTGTAAATGATATAGTTTCGTTTGTTGAATGTTTTCAATTGCTGTTCTTTTTTGATAATATAAAGTTGTTTTTAAAAAAGCAGTCCCCAGTAGGCTGCAGTATATTGCAATTTACGCTTATGCGGTGCAAACAGAAGAAATTGCTGCAGAGCCCTACAAAAAGGAAAGTGATTTCGTTGTGCCGACGTCATACTGTTGTTCACTGCACGCATCATCTGGATGGAATGCCAGTGCAAAGAATAACTCTTCTCTTCTGAAAGACGGAGGCGTGTGTTTAAATAGTGCCTTAAAATTTAATTAATATCCTGTATCTTTTATTGTGGATGGCGCGATGAGAATATTGGGGGTCGTTTTACGCTTGTGTCTAAATTTAAGAAACAGCTTGATAAATCTTTTCAACTCTTCAGTAAGGTCCCTGCTTGAATTTATGTCTGTGATAAAAAATTCGCTTTCAAAAACACGTACCATAAATATTGAACACGTTCAGAAAAAAACTAATCCGTAGAGTTTATGACAGATTTTAGATTGACCTTTTAATTATGATCATGAATATTCGCAGCAATATATTCACTTTCACTTTGGTCAAACAGAAGGGAGGCTCCTGACTTAGTTACATAATGTTGCAAATAGTGTCATTTATTTGTGCATATTTTTACTCCAAGCTTGCACCACCTAGCCGTACTTGATTAAAAGAATTGCGGTGCGATGCGCTTAGAAACTGATTTTTGCGGGCAGTCTAAAGTGAGTTCAAAGCATTGGTGTACACGCTGTAGTTACAGTGAGTGCCTAAAGTACAAGCAGACGCAAAGAGGCAATTTGTATTTGGCCTGGAACCGGTGTACAGTCCGTTTACTAGATGCGCTTGCGCCCGATGCGTTGTGCTACCCGATTTCAAGGCTGCTATGTTCAGTTGCCACAGAGAGACGGACAGGAACTTTGCATATCTGAAACTGGTAGGTTGCTGCCGGTCATTGTGTCAATTTGAGTGGCCGTGCGACATTGAACTTGAAAAGCACCTCAAGCCTCATCCAACGTCGCCTAAGCTCATTGTGCTATTCACATAATGCAAAGAGCATATCCATTGACTTAACTGAGTATGATTCAAGTAACTGCATTACCTTAAGTTCAGCTCTTCACAGAACACCTGCAAAACCTTACTCTTGGAGTCGGCCATTGCGCACGACACATCCCATAAAAGAGGCAAAGATTAGGCGTTGCCAATTTTCCATCTGAAGAATTCTGCCGTCCTTCGAATACAATTACTCTACTACGTAGACACCGCATCTTCAAAAAATAAACGCAACAAAAAGACCAACCATTCAGCACCAAAAGTCGAGCGTAAGGAAACATTAGGGAGTTTTAGCAAGTCGTTTCCACACGAAAGGTTCGTCCTCGAATGCATCGGCGACACCACTGCGCATGCGCGCGCGAGTCGTTCGGAGCGTCGGGAGGCTCATCTCATTCGTTTCTCCCATTCTGGCCGCTGGAGTCGTCACCGCAACGCAGCCAGCACCGTTCACAACTCCAGTAAAAAAAAAGAAAAGAAAAAAGACGACGGTTAGTTAGGCAATTTACTCCGCCGACCCGGCCGAGCGAATTCGCCATCCTGTTACTCTGCTTTACATGAGAGGTTTAACCAAATCATTTCGAGGACTGCTAACAACGGTAAGCGATCGTGAATGCTGTAAACTGCGCATGCTAGTGAATTTTTCGATCTGGGGCCAGACTAGCTGCCGTGGTGACCGCGAGCAGACGAAATTATTTGGTTCGACGGCACACAACGTGAACGATCGTTCAAGTTCAAGATGACGCAGAGTCGGTACCACATACCTTTACGATCGTTCAGATAGATTTTACTCTATCTAGCTTTGCAGTTCTTGAAATACCGACCGCCAAATATTACGTCGGTCGTCTTGTTTACATCAGTCGTACGCCGGAAACACGAGCCGCCATGGGTTTACACGTTGCAGAATGTTTCACGTGTTTACTAGAAGATGGCGCCACCAGTCAAACACAATCATCATCATCGTTTAAGAAATGC